CCTGTTCACCATCAATCATTTGACATCTTTTTTCTATATTCTCTTCGATCTCTTTTCTTTTTTGGTTATCAATCTCCTAGGATCTTCTTGCTTGCAGAATTTTCTACCAACTTTTAAAATCCTCAATCACCTCTTGTGTCCACTCCTCCTGCACTTCCTCTATATGTATCTTATGCTGCTCATTGATATAGTTTATCTTTGCATTTATATCTGTTATATATCCTTCAAATACTCTAATTTTAAATTTAGTTTTCCTATTCTAATCCACCTTCCAAGTTGTGTTAATGTTTTACTTAGCCTTGTTTCTTTTGGCCTTCTTTTGTTTGGCATTGTGTTGTCAATTCTCTTCTTTGGTAATGTTCTTTCTGCTGCTGTGAGTATTCCATTACTAATTTGATCTCACCAATTATTCATTACTCGTTCTTCTTCTCTATTTCTGTTTGATTATGAGCTATTATTCATTTCTGCAATGTTTACTTTCCTACATATCCACCTCTCTAGCTCTGCTCTGTAATCGTCCCAGTCATCTTTTGTTGCTTTATCATATAAAAATACTGTTCTCTTTTGTCCACTTCTTCTGACCTTTGCTGCACTAGATGGTACCACCCAATAATCTAGTACCAGCTTTGCTGTTACTGCCTTGTGATTGCTATGCATACAAATATCCATGTCTTGTATTTTTGACTCAAACAAACTACTTGTCAGCTCATTTGCCAACCAAATGAAATCTATTCTTGAGCTAACCTCTCATCTGAATCATGAGAATTCCTGTTGTTTTGGGTTGACCATTCTAAATGCATCTTGAAAATTTTGTCTTTTTAACCAATTAATCAATGGGTCTTGCTTGTTTAATCTTTGCTTTCTCGAATGTGACCTGTCTAGATCTGCATCCACTACTTCATTGAAGTCCCCTATTATTATAATTTGTATTCTAGGACTTCTCTTTATGTATTTCTCCACTACCTTCCTTTGTATTAGTCTTCTCTCTTCTTTATTATTCGGGGCATATATATCATTATTATTAAGATTTCCATTTGTTTGAAGAAAAAGTTGGCTGTAATCATGTATTTGTTGACTCTATTTATTTGTCCCAGATGTTTTTCCCATTGTTCATTGATTAATAAACCAACTTCTGACCCCTTTCTCTTATCTATATTCACATTAGACCAGAAGCTTCTATACCTTGACATATTTCTTGTTAAAAAAAACCCCTCTCTAGCTAAGATATTTGTTTCTGTTAGGCCTATTATATCTATTTCATTGTTCCTTAACCAGTCATACAAAGATTCAAGCTTCTGTCCATATGTTTTAAGCCCACTTATGTTGTGTGCTGCTAAGTTTAATCTTAGTTTTTCCTCATTATTCATTTCTATTTTTCTTCTATTTCTTTTTTCCTTTTCAGCTTTTAAGTTTTGATTGTAATGTAAAGACTCTCTTACCATCTTCTTTCTTTCTGTTTGTGCGAAAAGGAGTTCGTCTTTACATTTTTTTTCCTTAATTCAACCTTAGCAACCTTTAGGAGCGATACGGACACTCCTTCATCTCTATCGCTTCTTGATTTACACTTTGCACCTCTAATCTCTTAAGTCTTTCTAAAATTCTTTGTAGCAAATCTTCAGTTGGTGAGATGCTCTCCAGCCTATTTTGAGTTTTCTCCTTCTTAATATCTTTGTTGTTTTGCTTTCTTTTCTCATTATCTCTAAGCCATGTTTCTACTTTTTGATCTTGCTCATTCTCATAGATACTTATAATATCACTATTCTCATATGTGCATCTTTCCTTATGTCACTTTCTCTGTATCATTTTCTCACCTATATAGTTTTTCCAATATACTGTGTGGTTATTATATTTTATTGGCCTCGATTGAGCTATCTCTATTTTTTCCTGACTTGCAAATGAGACAATCACAAAGTTTCGCTGGTTTTCATTTCTGTTGACTAGGATGTAAACTGCTTTTGCCTCTTTGCTTCTCAGACACTGAAGTAAGAGAACCTCTGATGCTCTTCTGGGTATATTCAAAAGCTTGGTTGTGAACTGACTTTGTAAATCTCTTTGTTCATAATCTTCATTACCTGGAGATATTCTTGCTAGTTTGTGGTTATTAAATAGAATTGACCAGGGAACTTCTTGCTCTTCTTTCTTGAAGTACTCTATTACCGCTAAGGCCTTGTACTTTGTTCTCTTAATTCTTACTATTCTTGCATTTTGGAAATTCTTGCATATGTACTCGAGTTCCTTATGGTTAATGCCTACAGGCAAGTCCCAGATTGTTAGGCAACTAGGGCTTCTTGTTCTTGCTTCATTTACTCAGTATAGGTTTCTTTTTTCATATTTATTTTCCTCTGTGCTTACAGAGCTTCTTCTGCTTGAATTAGCTTCTGATTGGTTGTCTCTAGTTTTTCTCTCTTCTTCTTGATTGATTTTCCATTTGCCTTTCTTGCCTTCATTTCTTCTTTTGTTTTTACTGTCCCAGGTCTTTTCACTTTTTATGATTTCTCTCTTTTCTGGTATGAGACTGAACCAATCACTTTCCTTTTCTTTCATCTTCTTAATTGTTGTAAACATGCCATACTCACAGTCAAAATCGACTATAACCCAGCTGTTGCCATTTATAAATTCTTCTTTAACCAATTTGATGTGCTTGTTCTTCCTGAGTACCCACTCTGTATATTTAATTTTCTTTTCTTTTGAGTCACCTGGTACCTTATAAGTTGGTAACTTTGATTTAAATGACTCATTTCTGTCACAGTCTCAGTTCTGTGGTGCCCACAGGCTGTTTTCGAGTGGTGCACATCTTTCACTGAATTCTGTATACTCTTTTTCTTCTCTTTTTTCATCAAAATTTTCTAGCTCTTTTGTTACTCTTTCTAGTTCTTTTTGAACATCCTTAATAATTTCATCTCTTGGTGCTTCTTCATCTGTTTTGCATTTCTTTTCCTTCAATTCACCTGTTGTTTCTTTCTGCTGATCTATGACTTCTTTTTTGGTTTAATTTCTATGTCTTTTATGTCTTCCATTTGATGTAATGTCTAAGGTTTGAAATTGTAATGCTATTTTTCCAACCACATCTTTGTCTGCTTCTCTTGTTATTTCTTCCTGACTTCTTTTCTTATTGCTTGTTATCTGCATTTCATCTAAGTTGTTGGCCTGCTTTTTAATTCCTTCTATTTTGTTCTTTTCTTCTTGAATTTCTTCCTTACT